AAAGATATCCTTTAGGGATCATAAATGGCAATTGTTTGGCTAATTGCTGGCGCTAGCCCAGCTCAGTATTTCTTATTTCCATCTTAACATTCTATCAAACTCTTGTTATCAAAGGTTTGTCTTCAATGGGTACTTTATTCCAGGTGATTACATGTGATAATATAAATAATTTTTGCCAGTGTATGCCTTCTACTACCAATATAGTATTTTCCACAGCTAATGAAGTTGTCACTGTCTTTTGACCAACACCGAGTTAAATAATAAATCTTAAATTCCTACTGTTGAGGTATCTATCTATCTATCTATCTATCTATCTATCTATCTATCTATCTATCTATCTATCATCTATCTATCATCTATCTATCTATCTATCTATCTATCTATCTATCTATCTATCTATCTATCTATCTATCTATCTGTCATCTATCTATCTATCTATCTATCTATCTATCATCTATCTATCATCTATCTATCTATCTATCAATCTATCTATCTATCTATCATCTATATCTATCATCTATCATCTATCTAATCATCTATCTGTCTATCTGTCTATCTGTCTGTCTGTCTGTCTATCTATCTATCTAAAATATGTTTTTATTGATTTCAGAGAGACGAAGGGAGAGGGAGGGAAAGAGATAGAAACATCAGTCATGAGAGAGTGTCATCGATTGGCTGCCTCCCGCAAGCCCCCTACTGGGGATTAAGCCCGCAACCCAGGCATGTGCCCTGAGCAGGAATCGAACTGCGATCTCATCCTCTGAGCCACTTCAGCCAGGCTTATATAGTTATTTCATGAACACCTTTCTGTACCAAATACTGTATCAGAAAATATGTTAGTTGAGGAAATAGAAACCACTCTGGGTAGTTTATACTGAAAAGAAATTTGGTGTATACAAAATCGTTTGAAAGGCTGGAGGAGTGAAAGTCAGGGATACAATGGGACTTTTAATTTCAAGATCATACAATGTAGCTGTGATCTAGAAGTCAGAAAACCAGTGCTGCTATTGCTGCTAACCTTTTCCAGAATAGCTCTTCCAACATGACCTTATACCTTTGAAGGTAGAAGCTAGAAGGTCGATTCTATTCTCATTGATAATGCAGCTTTCTTTGCTGCTGCTACAGTTAAGAGGTTTCTGCCTCCCTTTCTTCTAAGTCTCATGATGTACATAGGTGACTTGATATATCTGAATCATATAATTGTTTTAAAAAATTCAGTTCCTCTGACATTGTTAGTTTTACTTAAATATTTAATGATTCCTGGTTGCCTATATGTCTTTATACATAGATTGTGTGGTATTGGTCGCCAGAATTTATATACCTTGCCTAAATAAGAAGACCTCACCCAGCAGATGTGAATACAAGTTCTGTTCATAGATGTCCCTGCTCCAATGGTTGTGGTGGGTGGGAAAAGAAGGTTGATGGTAGAGGGAGGATGCATGTGAATAGGCTCTCCCTTATGAGTTGTTTGTATGTTGGATCTTCCTGTTTCTTGTGGCAGTGGATAGTCACTGGGCTCACTATTTCTCCTATAAACCTGGTGCCCATTCTGGTAATTTCTAGAGTCAGATTTCCTTCTTCTTCTTCTTCTTTTTTTTTTTTTTTTTTTAACATATCTTTATTGATTTCAGAGAAAGGAAAGGAGAGGGAGAGAGAGAGAAACATCAATCATGAGAGAGTCATTGATCAAGCCCACAACCTGGGCATGTGCCCTGACTAGGAATCAAACCACAATCGCCTGGATCCCAGGCTGATGCTCAACCGCTGAGCCACGCCCGGCCGGGCAGATTTCCTTCTTAATAGAACCGAACTTGAAGTTTTATTCTGGGGAGAAACTCTGTTTTCCATTTTTCTGGAAAAAGGATTGTTATGTGGCTTTGTTCCTTCCAATGAATTACCCAGCCTGTTGTCCAAGCCTGTCCTTTCTACAGTCTTCATTATCTCTCATCTGAGCGTTATATGGAGATTTTACTGGAAGAACTCATTCAGTGCTTCCTCTCTTTCACTTGGATAGGATCACTAGCTTCTTAGTCTGGTGGGTTTTGTTGGCAATCCGAGGCCACCTCCATAACTGTGAAAATTCTTCAATAGCCCTCAAATGTTTGCTGGGTGACACTTCTCTAAGGTTATAGCAGTAGTATGATTTTATGGCTGTATTTTTATTTATATATTTGTGATTTCAGTGAAATTTGGGGAGGGCAGAAAGGTAATTCAGATGTTCAGTTACCCTTTGTGAATCAGACCTATTGTCCTTAGACTTATAATAAACTGATTTGCACTTTCCTAGATGCTTTGAAAAAGTAATCAGGATCTACATTTTCTCCCTCAAACCACGTAAGACAATTCAATTTTTGTTTTCATTTATTTTACTTTCCCCAAGCACCTCGTCTGTTTATCTCCAAACCTCCTGGATTTAGTTTCAATCATAAGGAAGAAGGTTTACTAAGTAGGTTTTTAAATTTGGAATGGAAGTTTCTACAGCACAATAGAGAGGTTTGAGGGGGCAGATAGCAGTGGTAGTTTGGGTCAGAAGACTAGAAGTTCAGAGAGATTGGAAGGGTTTACATTTTTAGTAGTGATGAGGAAAACAGCAAGATGAGGTTGCAATATAATTGGTACAAGAACCCTGGCTGGTGTGGCTCCACTGGTTGGAGCATCCTCCCATGCACCAGAAGGCCGAGGGTTCGATTTCCAGTGAGGGCGCATACCTAGGTTCTGGGTTTAATCCCCAGTTGAAGTGGGCACGGGAAGCAACCAGTCAATGTCTTTCTCTCACATCAATGTTCCTCTCTCACTCTGTCTCCCTTCCGTTCTCTCTCAAATCAATAAACATATCCTTGGGGAGGATAAAAATACTAATAATAATTGGTACAAGTACTGTTATGATGCCCTGAGGGCATGAGAGGTAGCCCAGGTTTTGAGGAACCTGACTAGTCATGCTGTCTTAGATCTGGGCATTTGCACATGTCCTTTCCTGCTCTGGAACACCTCTGTCTCCTTTCCTCCCGTCACCAGGCCAGTCCAGACACTTTATGTCTGGGTCCAAATATAACTTTCTCCAGGAAGGCTTCCCTGAGTGTCTTCTCTCCTGTATGCATGTGCACTTTCTCTCTGGTAGCCCTTTTCACAATATACAACAATTGCTTATTGACTGGTTTGTATCCTCAACTATATCCTAAGCTCTGGAAAAGGAAAAGACAACTGTCTTGCAGAAAATCCAGCCTCTCTGTAACCATCCCACAAACTGTACCACATAAATACTTACTAATTTTCAAATTTAATGTTATATCATTTAATTCCAGTTTATAAAAGCACTAAACACATGTTTCTTTAAAGAGTAAGCTCCAATACAGCATTATATGATTTGATTCCTACATATTTAATTTATAGTCATTCATAACACTGTATTTCCCTGTTACAAACATTGCCACATTAATAATGTATACTTGTAGAATAAACAAGTGAACCGAATCAGCTTCATGCACATCTTTCTCTAGCCTTGATATATAAACATTTTAAAAAGTATTAATATTGCTCAGATTCTAACATTTTAGTATTGCTTTTAAAAGTAGCTAACCTGTCTGTGAATAAGCATGGGCTTTGGAACTGTTGAAGGTGCGGACCCCTAAGAAAGAAGATACCCACAGAAGAGGGCTCCTGGTGGCAAAGTAGGCTCGAATTTAAAAGCAGAGTCAAGCAGCCTGCTTCTGCACAGGGACCTCTAATGCAAACCACACTTCAGGTGGAAGCCTGCACCTGCCGGCTGCCTGCCCCGGTCCCTGCCCTATGATCCAGCCCTTCGAAAGGAGGTCCTGGAATAGTATTTCAGTCACTAGGACAGGCTTTCCCTGTCCAACCCGAGCTGTAGCACAGCTACGTCTCCATCCAGAATCTTCACCGGCCAGTCAGAGAAGCTTCATTTTGACCCATCAGGAGAGTGCTTTTTGGATCAATCAAACTGTGAGGATTTGGTGTCCTCACAAAAGTCCCAGGGGCAGGGACTTCTGTCTATAGTCTCTCCTCTCACTGCACTTTCCTTTCCGTGGGAGACTGAAGACTGTTTCCCCGGCTGGAGCTGAAACACCAAAGATGTGAGACGTCCGGCTGGGGCAGCCCAGGGCGGAGCCGTTCACCCAGAGGCGGGCCTCGGGGCCGCCTGCCACCGCGCTGTGTGGCTTCCTAGCTGAGTTACACACTGCTGAGCGGGTTCACGCTGCACTGTGCCAGCCGAGCTGCTTGCGCTGGACAAAACTTCTCTCTTCACTGCACCCAGAACTAGGGATTCCTGTTGGCACTGGGCTCGCGCCAACGCCCATCCACTGAGGGAAGGCTGCCAGGCCTGGCTGTGCATACTGTCCTCAGGTTTTTATGTTTAAAAATTCGTTTTAAAAAATAAGTTCTCTGAGTGGATGAAAGGCACTATTTCACATTCGTGTGGACACACATCACGAGTGAGTGCACAACATACGTGTGAGAGGGAATATTTCCCCTGGGTGTATTATCTCTTTCTCACAATTAAATGTGTATATTTTATTTATGTGGAAATGTCTGTCCACAGTACAATCACTGTAACAATAGTTAATATAAAGTAATGCTTTTTCCTCTGTTAAAGAGTTGTAATTATCAAAACAGCAATTGAAGAAGGTCTATTGCTAATATTCTCATATTACTTCCAGAAAATAAAATTTCCCAACGTTCCGAGATATTTTAAGGGATGCAATTTATGGAAGCAGCAGCAGAAGAGATGGTATGTTGACAGTGACTTAGGTTAGCAAACGTCCCAAAGGGAAATCGTATTCTGAGTAAAACCTTAAAAAAGAAACACCAGGAACCAAAACTGGCCCCTTACACATCTGGGCTGGGGGTGGGGCTTCAGGGACGTGTGGGAGGAGCCACGCAGGGTCGGGGGTTTCTCGGTTCCCGTGGCACTGCTCGGCTCCGCTCGGCTCCGCTCGGCTCGCTCTCGGCTGCCTTTCGGCTGTTCGGCTTCTCTCCCGCAGGGCGAGCGGAGGCGAGGCCCGCGCAGGCGCTCTGGGCTCCCGCTGCACTCCGGGCCTCGCTCCGCCAGAGTTTTTACTTCCTCGTCTTCCGAGCTGTATCCGGGTCGCTGCGTCCCCCATTGTCTCAGGCAACCGGCGCCTCGGACTGTGCAAAGTCTGGGTCTTTTGTTGCTTCTGGTGCAGGCTAATAAAGTTTTTCTTTCTTTTCTTTCTCCCCCCCTAACAGTTTTAACGGGGAACGTTAACTCCTCAGGGCTGCCGGGGTGGCCGCGCTGCCGGGACCGGAGGGCGCCTGGGCCGTGGGAGCGCCGTGGGAAGGGGCGCGAGCGGCGGGGGCCGGTTCC